TGGCAAGGTCTAGTTTGATCTGCCCAAATCAGGGTATATCTATTTACAGACGATGTTGTGTAAATAGTATTGTATGGCTGAGTTGTATAGTCATAGGAGTTTTTTGTCGTAAGTCTTTGGGGCTACAGACTATAGGCCTCCAGCAAACTAACACGTGTCGTAGTATGTAATTATGTGGATCGGGTGGTCAGGCTTGGAGACGTGGTTCATTGCATGGCGTTGTATCCAAATTGCAATGATTCACACGGTCTGGACTTTCTGGTCCAGATTAAACATTTTACAGTGCCGTTATACAACTGGAATTTTGCTGAGTGCGGAGTAACATAACACACAAAGACAATGGTGTCCATGTTTTTACAATCCCTGCTGTTTGAGTGGTATAGATGTTCGTGTTTTCCAATCCCACGTTGGCCCCTCTCGTCTAGGTTTGTTGACACCATACAAGTTTCCCATTGTGGTAACCGTGAATACCTGTATGACTTCGTGCTTCACCCCGTCTGCCGCTCCTACCTAGTGGTGGTCCGATTAATCGAAATAATCGAAGATTGGTCGCAGTGACAACGACCAAGCAGTTAATCATGTTTTCTCATAAAATCGAACACAAACAATTTTGGGACACTTATTTGCATTAACAATATGTTTCACAAGGTTCGTTTTTTCTGTGTCTTTAAATTTACATTTCATAAGCACTACAAGCTCGTTCCAAGTCATGATTGAATTTATCTTAAAGATTCCAAGAAATTTATGTTCCTAACATACCAGTCATTCTTTAAAGATGTGAAATTTTGCCCCCCAAAACCCCAAAGAACAACATGTTTGTTTCCTTATTTTTTCATTTCCTAACATACTACTCATCCTTTACGTATGTGAAATTTTGAGAAAAAAAACACCACAGAACTACACGTACATGTTTTTCTTAATTTTATGTGCATTACCAAACATAAAAGGAAAATTTGATAAATGACGCTATTAACCAATTATTCTTCGATGGTTTATCAGTTGTTGTGGACCAACTCCCAACACTGCTCCCACCCCAGGACCCCACCCCGGGACCCCACCCAACCCTACAGCTGACTTGCTGTGATATATATAAATACTGGACAACGAGGCCTAATACACTGGTCACTGACGCTTATTAATAATACTGTCGCCATTGGTGAACACCTTCTTTAATGTACAAACCCAGCTGTTGAAACGATTTTTGATAAAATAATATTTATAGTTATGTCATACATATAGCTTCTGACTGTATTTCGTACTTGTACGGTTGAGGGACTATGGCATACATTAGAAATGACTACTTGAAGCAAGGTCAGTTGTAGGCTGTAATATATGTTTGGTACATTACATGGACTATAGTAGACACTTCGTTCTGTTTTGTTCAATTCAATATCCGACAATTCTGTACATATTTCATGGATAATAATTTACGGTAATATCTGATTAAAGTGTACATAGCTGATTTTGTATTTTAAGGCTTCCGTATTTTGCACACCTCGTATCAATCTGTCAAGAATTTAATTTTCTTGAAACAGTTGTAACATGTTATTGTTAAATGCCGGGCAGAAGAAAGTATACTCAAAATTGAATTCAACCCTAAAATTGCAAAACGTTATGAAAACGTTACTCGGCTGAAAACAGCCGCTGTAACACTGGAAATGTAAGGTCCAAAACTATGACAGCCATATTCACTCAAACAGTCGAACAGCCATTTCTTGTCGGTTTCAAGTTTAGCAACCGTAAAATGTTGGAGTTTAGTTTGTATTGCCCGGCCGACCATATTGGGACAACTTCATTCAACTCAGACTGACTGACTGAGTTTGGTTTTACGCCGCTTTTAGCAATATTCCAGCAATATCACGGCGGGGGACACCAGAAATGGGCTTCACACATTGTACCCATGTGGGGATTCGAACCCGGGTCTTAGGCGTGACGAGCCAACGCTTTAACCACTAGGCTACCCCACCGCCCCATTCAACTCAGAACAAAAGATGGAGGGTATAAGAGAGGCTGGAAAAGGAGAGGAAGATCGATTTGTGGATTGGGGTGGAGGGTGCCGCTGGTGTACTTACCATGAGGGCGGTCGGGTAGCCTAGTGGTAAAGGCTTTCGCTCGTCACGCTGAAGACCCAGGGCCCCGTTTCACAAAGCTCTCGTAAGCCCAAGATCTCGTGACTTTTCTCGTAGCATTCGTACTTCATATTCTGTAACGTAGGGAGTACGAATGCTACGACAAAAGTTACGAGATCATAGGCTTACGCGAGCTTTGTAAAACGGAGCCCAGATTCGATTCTCCAAAACGGGTACAATGAATGAAGACCATTTCTGGTGTTCCCGCCGTGATATTGCTGGAATATTGCTACAAGCGGCGTAAAGCCATACTCACTCACCATGCAATATGCCTGAAACAGTGGGTTCATGTCCGACCACTGCACCCCTTCTTCAGATACCCAGTGGAACAGACCATGCCAAAATCATAATCTCAACTTTTATGCCCTGGTTCATCATTTAACATTGTGATATGGATGCTGTATTTCTACTGATAGCGATGGCTCTCTACTTATCGACATGATCTCAAAATGATTTCTGTTCTGATCGAACCACATAATTCTATGGACATTCGATATAGATAGACTTCGAGCTGTGAAGGTGTTACAACACCAGGTTTTCATGTATTGCCGATGCTGAACAGGCACCAAATGAGAATGTATCATCAACTGTTATGAAAAAAAATAAAGAATGAATCAGTTCAGTACATGTCTTGGCGTTATGTTGTTCAAAGCAGAATTGCTCACACAAACAGAACATTATGTAATCGTATTATATTCGTCTATACTATCTGGGGTAGAACGCACACACACTCACTTCTATGCCAAAAACTTCTGCCTGATTTGCAAACGTTACACCAGAAGATTATTCTGCTATTAAAAAAAGAGTAACATTTATAAGATTTACCTTATTATGTTGGAGACTCATATTTTTTCACCATCAAAATAGGAAACGTTTGACATGTACAACAGGGCTCCTTATTTCTGGAAGACCACCGCCATTGCGTGACAATATTGACCTGTCGATTCCATCATCCGAGAGCATTCTGGAAGACCACCGCCATTGCGTGGCAATATTGACCTGTCGATTCCATCATCCGAGAGCATTCTGGAAGACCACCGCCATTGCTTGGCAATATTGACCTGTCGATTCCATCATCCGAGAGCATTCTGGAAGACCACCGCCATTGTGTGGCAATATTGACCTGTCGATTCTATCATCCGAGAGCATTCTGGAAGACCACCGCCATTGTGTGGCAATATTGACCTGTCGATTCCATCATCAGAGAGCATTCTGGAAGACCACCGCCACTGTGTGGCAATACTGGCCTGTTGATTCCATCATCCGAGAGCATTCTGGAAGACCACCGCCACTGTGTGGCAATACTGACCTGTTGATTCCATCATCAGAGAGCATTCTGGAAGACCACCGCCACTGTGTGGCAATACTGACCTGTTGATTCCATCATCCGAGAGCATTCTGGAAGACCACCGCCACTGTGTGGCAATACTGACCTGTCGATTCCATCATCAGAGAGCATTCTGGAAGACCACCGCCATTGTGTGGCAATACTGACCTGTCGATTCCATCATCAGTGAGCATTCTGGAAGACCACCGCCACTGTGTGGCAATACTGACCTGTTGATTCCATCATCAGAGAGCATTCTGGAAGACCACCGCCACTGTGTGGCAATACTGACCTGTCGATTTCATCATCAGAGCGCAAATGCGGTGGTTTGGCAACGATTTTACTGGCACTTCAACAGTTTTCAGATGTATAGCTGCATTATCATCCGTGAGCTGACATTCAAGCGATTCTATAATTCTATCGATTCTGTGATGGTTATCCACTTATGGAGGCAAAGGGATAACCGTTATTGAATATCGACATCATATGGCAAATAGAGGATATGTGACTGGATACCCTCAGAAACACAAATGAAGATTCTTAAAGTAGAGTTAGACGAACACGAATACATGTTTTATGGATAACAACATCTCTGAAATGTGATGAAAGATAAAAAGTAGTTTTCCATAAACACGTGTCATGTATAATAATTAAATGTTTTTAGAATTCCTAAGATTGGCAAATGGAGGATGTCACTGAATATCGTTAGGAGCACGAATGCGGAAATGGTATTAAATATGCTCAAATGGACAAGTTTATAGGAGCGAGGTTGGACCTTTTCAAATGGACAAATGAAGGTTATATATTTTTTCACAAATGTGTGAAACTCCTTACAATACAATTGTTATGCAAATACATTTGGCATCACTTAGCAATGTGCCGTTTTCTTATGCATAATATGCATTGCATGCGTGTCAATTCCATCCTTGATGATATAACTTCCAAATTCAACTTATAGTCCGTTTGGCTCAAAAGCGGACCGATGAATTGCAATCTAACTCGAAAACTAATAAACATATAATACTCAATGAAACGCTGGTCATAATCAAAACGTCAGACCAACTCTGTGATTTGTTTGCAGAATTAATGTCCTTAAAATAAAAAAAGTTGTTTAACAAACTATCATTAAAATACTGACACAGTTCACTATTTGTTACGAGGGAGGAGTGCAAAGAAAGGGACAGCCCGGTGTGCGAGAAAGGATGGAGACGGCACAGCACAGGTTAATGAATCAATAACTTTGTCGGCACTTGTGCACGTGCTTCTCTAACACCTGGCTGTGCCTTTCTCTGCACTATTCCCTCGTAACAAATAGTGAACTGTGTCAAAATTTTAATGATAGTTTGTTAAGCAACCTTTTTTAATTTTAGGACACAAATTCTGCAAATAAATCAAAGAGTTGGTCTGATGTTTTGATTATGACCAGCGTTTCATTGAGTATTATATGTTTATTAATTTTCGAGTTAGACCGCAATTCATCAGTCCGCTTTTCAGCCAAACGGACTATAATGGAGTTTGGAACATCAACAACAAACAAAACACAGTTATCCTTATTTGATTTATTTACAAAGTGTGCACCAACACACAAGGAGTGCTAAGTTAGACAGAACCTGATCCACATTGCTCATGTCAAATGTAAATTATGATGTCTTGGTAACTATGATTTCCCTGTCATAAATTTAAGTTCTTCTACAGTGAGTGAGTGAGTGAGTGAGTTTAGTTTTACACCGCTTTTTGCAATATTTCAGCAATATCACGGCGAGGGACACCTGAAATGGGCTTCACACATTTTACCCATGTGGGGAATCGAACCGGGTCTTCCGCGTGACGAGCGAACGCTTTAACCACTAGGCTACCCTACCGCCCCTCCTTCTACAGTGTAATAATGTACAGGTCTCAGTTGGCTCAACACAGACTCTCATGCCAACACACACAATCATGGAATAAATATACATTGGGGAAACACCTAACAATCCACATGCATGTGTGTTTCATATCTAACATGGGAATGTTGTCATGAAGAAATGACAGACAAAAGGGGGTCCCCAAAATTCACGGTTTATAGGGTAGGGGGCATGAAGGGAACAACAGCAAAATAACTAACAAAAAATTAACATTTCTAACTTTCAAATAAATAAATTCTTCGTTGGAGTACTATTTAGGGTCTGGTAACTTGTAAGGTGGGACGTGACATGACAAAAGTAAACAAAAGTTGTACAGTCAGCTAAATATGATACAGTTCTATGACCACCGGGGCCCTTTACCTGACCAGGCTATCATCTGTGATTTACAATCACTATAGTAACATTCAACTTTAGCACTTGGTCTCAGTCTAGCACACCAGCTTGACTTTCAATTTAACCCTGATATGAACAGGCATTAAAATTTACAAATGGTAAGTTATTAATGAATTAAAATGAAGAACATGTTCATCCCTTACAAGACAGAAACAGTAATGGATGACTATGGATATGGGGTACTCCTATGAGAAAACCGATATTTCAGCCTTGAAACTTCACACAACACATTCCTGAAGAACTGAAATTAATTGCACTTCATCCTTTGAGACACCATGAGCATGATTCAAGAAAATGAAATATATAAATAACAAAGAAGATAGAATAATTTGTTCTATGGTAAAGGAAATGGCTGTGAAACCTAACTTAGGAATTAACCTAAAATTTCACATAAACAACAGATTGATAAAGAAATATTTCACTTCAAATACTAAATACATTTTAATGTGTCATGTTTTTAATTTTAATTCTAGTCAGTATTCCACTTTTTGAAAAATGCACTTTTTTAGATCAATATATCATTTATACTTATCCTAACTCATACGCTTGAGCGAATAGTCTAAGTCAGGATAAGGTAAAATGTGACATATTTATGAAATGTAACTGTCTGACAATTGACCAATAGTGTTTCTCAGAAGTATGTTAAAATGTATCCCCTATGTTATAACTTTACATATGTTAGCACAAGAACATGAGTTTTATAAATACGAACATGTGTTGTTATTAATTTCAGGCATGAGTATATAGAGATTGTTATGGGAGCATATGTCATACTGATTTTATGAAATGGGTGTCAGAATTCTTGCATTTCCCGGCACGCAAGAGTAAAGGTAATATATGCAGATATATACATGGGCATGATGAGTAATTCCTTTAATTATTTGTTAATCCTTGGCTTTAGAGCTACTCTTTAGAAAAAATGCACTCATCCAAAAAACAATTTTGTCAAATGACCTCACCAATCTTCACCTCTAATCCTCCATGATGTCACAATAAGATTCAATTGACATCAACAATGCTGTCCGGATGATTTCAACAACACTGGTACAAGTAAAGTGATATTTGCACGAGTGCACATACAATCATTATGAATTTTTATATTTGCAACCTTTTGTGTAATAATGCAGACAAAAATATCATGATAATGAATGAAAAGAACATTTTGTCTTCAAAATATCATCAACTTACAACTATATATCTCATTAGGACCGTAATTCACATCTGAACAGCCACTTGATACCATTTGATCATTTGACTCCAGTCAAAACATTTGGCACCAAAGGGAGACAATCATATCCAATATGCTGCAAGTCTACTGTAGGGGTGAATCGGTATAACACAGTATTAGTAGAACTGCAGTATTTTATCTTCGGTTCGGTATACCGTAATGAAATCCCAAAATTCTGTATTTTCGGTTTCGTGCCATCAAATTCCATCTAGACCTAAAATGACATTTTGTTCATTCAAAATAAAAAGGATTATGGTTATTTTTCACCATGCCATTAAACAATGTAAGGTTTGGCTCTTGTCAATTTCTGCATAATGACCATATCTCATATACCGGAACCGAAACAGACCGAACCGAAGGCTTTGTACCGCACCACGTACTGTACCTTGGTAAGAGCGTACCATTTCATCCCTAGTTTACTGACACTGTCGCAAACAGCACCCGTAAAACCAATATGACACCTGCTGAAATTGCAATCAACCTATTTCCAGCTCAACCATACAGATACTATTGTGTCTAACAGCTGAACACACACATATCCTTCATGTATATAAAAGTTTAGACTAATTCATTCAACACCTCTGACAATCAGCATAGGTAAATGAGATATTTTCTATTCAGATATTCATACTGTGTTTAATCTGTACTCACATATTTCAATATTTCCCAATATGGGTATAATCTTAATTATTCCTAACAAAATTTCACAGACCACGATCATCACCTGTTTGAAATGAAGAATTTTGATACATCCTTTTTGGAGAATATTTAGGTATTCTTTCATGGACGCTGCAAGAATTGGTCAGATCAAACTCTCTTGAATGAGGATTGCAATTGTGGAGGTAAGTAGCCCTTGGTCCGTGTCCTGAACGAACACGCCTTGTTTGAAATTTCCCCAGATCTATGTGTGTCACTTGGACTCATTTTTAGGTGATGTCGTCGGTCTTGGGCATCTCTAGGGATGGCCAGCTGAAGTTCTCAGCCTTCCTGAGATTGATCTCCACCTTAGTGCCAAGCATCTTCACAGAACTCCTGGCAGGGTCTATCACCTGTGAGCAGAGCAGAGAGCTTATAAGTTTGTTGCTTATCAATTGAATAACAACCCGTGAAGGTCCGGGTTAGAATTAACCTTCAGTAACCAATGCTTGTCGTAAGAGGCGACTAACGGGATCGGGTGGTCAGGCTTGCTGACTTGGTTGACACATGTCATGGGTACCCATTTGCGCAGATCGATGCTCATGCTGTTGATCACTGGATTGTGTGGTCCAGACTCGATTATTTACAGACTGCCGCCATATAGCTGGAATATTGCTGAGTGCGGCGTAAAACTAAACTCACTCACTCAATTGTATAACAATACACTTGGCAATATTCCACTTATTTGACAATAACTTATCAAAAGTAGTCAGTAACGACAAGCAAAGGTTGTTGTGAACACATTCTAACCCTGTATGCCCTAACCTGGGACAAGGAGAGTGAGTGACTGTTGCATGAACTTGCATGATACCTAATCTTCAGGATTCCAGCTACACCATAGATGTATGCATACCAAAGAAAGAAAGCCAGGACATGCCGGGTACAATTACACATTAATTAACACAGTGGTGGTCCGAGTTGGGTTGGTTTGTTTTGCAATGTCATTCATAATCGCAATATTCCAGCATATATTTTTCACATGGTTGTTGTGGGTAAAAGCACTACAAGCTCGAAGTCATGATTGACCAGATTCAATCCAGCGATCAACATCCTTGAAAGATTGATCCAAAAACCAGTTGAACTATCACGTTCCCCTTATGACATGTGTTAACCAAATCAGTGAGCCTGACCACCCGATCCTGTTACTAATTAACCTCTTGTTGTTAAAGACACTCAGCAAGTATGGGTTTGTGTGAAGACCAATTCTAACCAACATCTTCACGGTCTAACAAATCACTGAACTTGAACCTTCAGTATGGGTTGCAATGTCAGCTGTCAAACAGGGATAACCTGACTGCTTCAAACAGGGATAACGACTGCTTTGTACAACGCAACAAATTTGAAAACATTTTGTTTCAATCAACAGTGACAATGACCTACATGGACCATCATATCACCAAGATGAGCCTGACAGTGTAAAGTTGGAGAAAAGTCTGAAGTGATGCAGGTTCCAGATGCTCCACATCAACTCACTACATTAAAACATCAATAATTTGTAAATACTAGTCATGAGAATATATATCTCCAATTATAGAGTCTTATTCTTAAGGTGAAGTGAGGTGAGGTGAAATTGGTTTTTACGTCATGCTTGAGAATATTTCGCTCATATGACGACGTGCATGCATGTGTATGTGTAGTGTGCGGCTGCTTGTACTAGCCCAGACTAAAGCTGGTTTTATAGTGCTAGCTCACTGAGATACCATGCCGCAGTGAAGCATGAATACCCCACTCAGACACATTATACTGACTCCGAGCCGACCAGTCCTTGATGTACCCATTAATGCCGAGCGCCAGACAGGGACCAACAAGTACCAAATTTTAACGTCTTTTGGTATGACGTGGTCGGGGATCGAACCCGCGACCTTCCACTCTCTGGGCGGACGCTCTAACCACTACACCACGGAGGCGGTCTTATTCTTAATGAACTCCAGTGTACTGGACGACCTGCTCCTATCACATATAAACCCAGACTGTACACGTAGTTCTACTTACGTCTCGGAGAACAAATTCCTGTTCAAATATACTCTTCCCGCCGTCAAACACTATGTGAACTCGGAGAAAGACCCTGTTGGCTTCTATGTGAGAAAAGTCAGGATTGGCCACCTTGGCGAACACAGACAGACATACATTGGGCCCTGTTTGATGCCAGTCAAACCTGCATGCCTTCTTCTCCCCTCCTTCTGCCTGCAACATCAAACATTATCTGACATTGTCAAACGAGTTGAACATCATCAGTTGAGTTGAGTTTCACAATGGTTCTAGCAATATTTTCTAGCTGCCTCAGATGGCCCCATGCAACACATCGTCAGGGACGTCAGACGGCGGCACCACATGTGCCTGTAGCATGGACGTATCATCACCGGCAGAGGTTGGCTACAACTTACATACAGGTATCACCTTCATACACAGGTAGAAAATGTTGTGTGGATTCCAGTTTGGAAGACAGTTGGATTTGTGGATGCACATGGTGAATTGGTTGTTGGGAAGTTTTTGAGCACAATAATTTTTAACAGAAATCCTAAACACCATGATTCCGTAAACCTGTATCAGAGCTTCATCAATCATAGCTTCTGTCTCCTGGGTAGAAAATGGCAGACACTTCCTATGTATTATTGTAAACCAAAAGTCACTGTGTTCTTTAATCTGATTGGTTGAAAAACGTGATCAAATGGTATTTGATTCCTGGAAATTCTCGGCGTAGTAATACATACAAACATGGCTCACACCACTGTATTGTTACGTCGTCAGCTGTGATGACGTCATTAAAACCATATTGTGACGTAAAGTCCGAATGACGTCACAAATCAGCAGTTCCAGATGCTACCATGGGAGACAGCCGAAACGGCCGGCTGATGACATTTCACTGCTGTACCCGTACTCGATCTCAATGAGTGCAGACACAAAAAACGTGTGTGGATCTTTTGGTTTACTTTTGTGTTTACAATGTCGATAAACATCATGTGTTGGCGAATTTCCGGGGCTGACGCCGTCGGTTCCAAATGAATTCCCGTGCTTCAAATACTCAATAAAGCCCGGAAATTCGCCAACAAATGATGTTTATCTCCTAAATGACACCTTCACATCATTCCGTAAAGTGATCATGAAACACTGATCTCCTCAACTTCCATGAGTTATGAAACTCCTTTATGTCATACTAACTCCAGGATTATATCACAGACACTAAGCAGCCCCGAATCCCCACGGGAGGGTGGGGTGAGAGTGGCGTGACAACCTACCTGTGGCTTGATCCACCTGTGTGTCCCGGTCTCACACCCCACCTGATTCAGGAAGCTGTCAAAATCTGATGTCTTCCTCATGCAGCATGACCAGAACTTCATTCTGGGACAAACAACAAGAAATACCAATACATAAACATGGTGGTCAGATTTCTTCAAATTCAGGTTCACTATTGTCAGTTACTTTGGCTAACTTTCCATAACTGACAATATAAGAACTTAATTTTGGGACTAGTTAAACAAAATTCACTGCACAAACACAAAGAAGTGAAAGATTGGATAGCAGTGCTCTCTCCTGTGACCATTTATTGACTTCACATCAAACTTTGCTCCTCTTTTGCAACAGATCTCATTTTTGTGCCAAGGGTTTTCCTACATAATGACGTACCCTTCATGGAAGATAGGCACGCCAGGGTGGTACATGCAGGTCTCACTGTCGCTGGCCTCGCCCTGGTAAGTCTGGAACAGGATGATACTAGACTATACCGAGAAATTAGTGTATATCTTTTGAAGGTGAGGTGAGGTGGTGAAATTGGGTTTAACGTCGTGCTTGAGAATATTTCGCTCATATGACGACGTGCATGCGTGTGTATGTGTATGTGCGGCTGCTAATACTAGCCCAGACTGAAGCTGGTTTTACAGTGCTAGCCCACTGAGATACCATGCCGCAGTGAAGCATGAATACCCCACTCAGACACAGTATACTGACTCCGAGCCGACCAGTCCTTGTTGTACCCATTAATGCAGAGCGCCAGGCAGGGACCAACAAGTACCATATTTTAACGTCTTTTGGTATGACGCGGTTGGGGATCGAACCCACGACCTTCCACTCTCCGGGCGGACGCTCTAACCACTACACCACGGAGGCGGTCGTATATCTTTTGAAGAGGCTACTGATCAGAACTGAGTGGAGCACCCTGTTAAAGCCTTTTAGATCACATGAAAAGGCCATTTCCTTTGCAAAACATGAAAACAACAGATTCACATAGGTGTTTAGGGAAGAAAAGATAAAGGCATCAGAAATCCGGCAATTATAACGCGTCTTTCTTGAAATAAAGGAATAATAAGAGCCTTTCATTGCAAAACTATCTTCCGTATACCAAATGTGTGTTGATATGAGACAAAAATGCAAAACAATCTGAAGATAAAAACAACTTACACCTTTACATGAATTGTTTGTGCAGCTTGTTCCAATCTTTATTGTGTTATCAGCTGTCTCTGAAACAACACGGGAATAATGAACAACAGGTAAAGACACCAGAAACAGGCTTCACACAGTGTATCCATGTGTGGAATCAAAACCGGGTCCTTGGCTTGACAAGTGAGCGCCACACCATAGGGTCAAGACAATGGATAGAAATGTGACCACAAGACCCCCTCTAGTCGACTATTATGGTAAGGACAGGATGTGGTGACATGGGTCCCGTTCACAAAGCAATCGTAGAGCTAAGATGATCGTAACTTCCATACTTTAACATAGACTTACGACAGTAGTAGCGCTAAGATTAGTTTGCGAAACAGGCTAGCTATTCTCGAAACGTTCGTATTCCTACGAACTTCTTAAGCCCATTCTTAACACATTGGCTACGATCAAAGTTAAGAATTCTTAAGGCTACGAACATTTCGAGAATAAGGGCCCAGGGCCCTGTTCTTCCCTAATATCAGGATAGGATAATGATTATGTAGATAAAATGAAACTTAAGTTATATTTAAAGTATCAAACAAACATATCTTCCAAACTGAATGTTTATCCAGCTCAACATTTCCACATACCAACTGCACTCTCCTTGTCATCGTCTGCCTCCAGTGTGAGCTTCTCCAGCGCTGACTTCAACGTCGCTCCCACTGTCAGCTTAAGTTTTGTCATGGGTTCATCAACCAACGGCCGATCATTAGCATTGCGTGGCTTGATGGGATCTCTCTGTTTGGGGGCCTCAACCACCACCTGACTCACAGAACAACAACACTTCAACAGATGCTATAGTCCGTTTGGCTCAAAAGCGGTCCGATGAATTGCAATCTAACTCGAAAACTAATAGACATAAAATACTCAATGAAACACTGATCATAATGAAAACATCAGACCTACTCTGTGAGGTTTTTGCAGAATTTATGTCCTAAAATTAAAAAAGTTGTTTAACAAACTATCATTAAAATATTGACACAGTTCACTATTTGTTACGAGGGAGGAGTGCAGAGAAAGGGACAGCCAGGTGTGCGAGAAAGGATGGAGACGGCACAGCACAGGTTAATGAATCAATAACTTTGTCGGCACTTGTGCACATGCTTCTCTAACACCTGGCTGTCCCTTTCTCTGCACTCCTCCCTCGTAACAAATAGTGAACTGTGTCAATATCACAGAGCTGGTCTGATGTTTTGATTATGATCAGTGTTTCATTGAGTATTATATGTTTATTAGTTTTCGAGTTAGATTGCAATTCATCGGTCCGCTTTTGAGCCAAACGGACTATAGTAACAAGTTAGCATGCTAACTGCTGGACCATTCAATACCACATTTATTACTTCCTGGCCAAATAATCAATCCATCCATGTGTAGCAGCCATAAAATGTCCCGTGCTGGGTTTCGAACCACGGACCTTCTGATCTTTGAGCCCGGCTTTTTTTTTAATCAGACACCTTGTTCACATGACCAAAGAGGTTAACACTGTCAGCAAGCAGACATGGTAAGGATGTCATATGTGGGATGACTCCACGAGTTGCTACACATGTTCTTGTAGAGATCTCTTCAAGTTCTTATTTACACTACAGAGGTATTTTTAACCAATAAAGTCAAATTAAACCTTTTCCTTTTATTTCAGAATCCTGCTATCAGTGAAATATAAGTGACATTGACCTTCATTTTCAAACTATCAGTTATTATCACCATGATCAGAAGAAACAAAGACGCCCCTCCCACTGACTGACTGAGTTTGGTTTTACGCCGCTTTTAGCAATATTCCAGCAACATCACGGCGGGGGAACACCAGAAATGGGCTTCACACATTGTACCCATGTGGGGATTCGAACCCAGGTCTTCGGCGTAACGAGCCAACGCTTTAACCACTAGGCTACCCCACCGCCCCGGCGCCCCTCCCAATGTCTGGAATGTGTTCTGTATCTATGGTAACCAACAGGATGTGTACTCACCACCTCCCCGGGGTTTTCAGTCTTTGGTTTCTTGGGTTCCACCGGTTTCACATTACTGTGAGCTCCCTTGGTGCAGCCCTGTGGGGCAGAACATGGAGCATTTACACAAACGGTGTCAAGAACATTGAGTGGTATCTAGACATTGGTGTGTTGAACAAGGGGGATAATACTATGGATATACAACTAGTTTATTACACTATATGTAGGGCTGGATATAGCCCAGATTTTCATATTGCGATATATTGCAATAACTTCATAGATATTGCAATACATATTGTGGTATATTGACTGGAAGGTTTCTGCCCAAGTGCGAACATAATAACTTCAAAATAGCTCTCTGTGTGCGACATCATCTCCTTAGTTGCTGTTACATCATACTGTCAGGCTCCCCGTCTGCATTTTGTATGGCTGTATGCCAATGGTCTACAGATAAATAAAATGGTATAGAGCCTTAATGTGGAATGTTTAATTGAAGTATTGCAGCATAGCTTTTCGAACATAATGATAGAAGTGAGAATATAACATGATTTTCATGGTCAGTGTTGTTTGCTTCAACAGAATGCACTTCAATGCAGTATTTAATTATTGTTACTGTATGTCAGTGATTCCTTCAGATTCAACTCCAGTATAAACATGCGTTAACATGAACTATTGCAAAATGAAACAAGAACATGATTTAGGTGAAGTATTTGAGATTAAAATCTCCTGTGAAATCCAATCACTAAGATCCTTGGCTGGAATGTCATTATACAGTGCTACAAAAAATTTAAGACTTAGGCCTTTGTGATTAATTGGTAACATATGTCTCATTCAAAAATAACAAAATGATGTGATTTTTTAAATGGTCACTCAGAGCCAGAGGCTCTACTAATAAGTCCAAATAAAATATCTGTTCATTTGATGCCACTTAATTCCTCCAAAATGTCACATATCAAACCATTCAATTCCACAAAACGTGGCAGAATATTTCAGAGCTACAGATAACTTTTTGGGTCATTGAGTTATGTACTCCCTTGTGTTCATCTCAATTGGGTATCCTAATTTTCCTTTGAGTAACCAAATAAATTGTACTCACCTCAGTCAAACTCATTTGGGTATTTTGCCATTTTTCATTAATTTTAAAAATATAATATAGCTTAAATAATAGTGTTTGTGATTTACCTTTGATATCTAATATGAGAAACGATAAGAAAGACTGCAATATGTCAAGCTCATGTCCTAAAATAGAGCCTCTCAATATGTCAGCTATTTTATCTATCCACCGGTACGCAAGCTACGACTTGACATTTTTGTGTGTACGCATATAAGATCACATTTATTGAGTATTTACAAAACTTCAAGCGTTCTTGTATGCAATAGACTTAATGGGAATTGGGTTTTCACATAAATGTTTGCGTAATTTACGCAGATACGCAGCTTATCTGTGCCTCTGTATTTGGCTCTTTGGAAGCCACTTACAAAGATACTTCCACTTGTAAAATGTTACATGAAACAAACAAAAATAATGTAATTTTTAGAGTAAAATTGATATTTTATACTTATCCTGACTCATGCTCTTTTGCTTGTCTTCTTCTTCTTGCGAACATAGAGTAACACTTGTATCTCCTTAATTGAAGCTCCCTTCAATGTAAAATCACTAATTAGTACTCACCAAGAGTTGCCTCCCTTTGCCTCTGCTCGGCGGAAAAGGTGGCGCCACCCTCTGGCCTCATGCTTCACTCTCTCCTGATTTTGCGAGAGCCCAACACTTGAATTTACAGGAAATCCAAAGTGTTATGTGGGGGAGGATGGGAGGGCTTACCTCATGAGTCAGGATAAGTATAAAATATCAATTTTACTCTAAAAATTACATATTTTCCTTATCCTGACTCATGCTCTCTTGCTTGTAGAATCCCTCACGGAAACGGAGGTGGGAAAGAACAGAATACTTTGGATTTATAAAATTAATTAGTGATTTATATATATATAACTGTAATAACCCCCTAACGGGAACTTCATAATGGCACTGACTTAGGATAATTCCTCTACTATAAACCATAAGTTTATACATTGCCATAGATGGGGTATTACAATAATAATATACTATGATAATAGCAATTAAAGATATAAAAGCGACTCCGAGAAGGAGAAGCTATACAACTGAACATAATCATCAGTATAAGCTTAAAGCTGAGAAAACTTAAGCTAAGTATATACATAGCCCTAAAACTCCGTAGCGTTATAAGCTGGATAATACTGGTATGAAATATACATAATAATCTCGTAAGACTATGTGTCAACGTCTACGAGGGACTGTCAACTGCTGTGCGAGGACCAAGGGACCGAAATGGTGAATACCTGAGACGTCCTCGGTGGTGATATCTCTCAGATAGTGATTAGCAAACACCATGTTAGATTTCCAAAAGCATCCTTCCATGATTGTATTCAATGAACAGTTACGTGTAGGCGAGTGTGGAAGCCAATGCCCTGATCTCATGGGGATTTGATGCTGTTGGAGGGTCGAGTCCTGCTGCCTTGTAGGCGCAAAGTATGACAGTTCTTATCCATATAGATATGGTGGTACGAGAGACTTCTGTCTGAGTTGTTGCCGATAAGGGGATGAATAATCGTTTGAGAAATCGTCGCCTTGTTTTGGAACATCGTAAGTAGATTTTGAGAGCTCTGACTGGGCATAGAGATAAGTCCAGTGTATCTTGAGATCCGAGAATCGAGGAGAGTGCAGGAATATGGAATAATCTGTCTGGTTGACCTGGCAATTGATTTTTGGCGATAAAAATCCTATCTTAATGCCAGGTGCGCTGTGTTTTGATTGTCATCAAACTGTATCCTCTCATAATCTAGTGCATGAATTTCTGACATCCTGGCTGCCATGGCTAGAGATAACAGGAAAAGCGTTTTCTGTGAGAGAAATTCAAAAGTTGTCGATTCCAACGGTTCATAAGCCTCACTTGTGAGGTGTTGGAGCACTATATTAAGATCCCAAGCTGGGGCGTGGAATTTCCGCTTCAGATCCTCCAATCGGAAAGCACGTAGTAAGGCCAGTAACTCTGGCGTCTTGGTTAGCTTGACACCCGTTCTCATAGTTATCACAGAACTAAACGCGGCAAGATATGTTGACAATGTCGAGCCTTTTAAATGTTTGTTTTGGGCGTAGGTAACACAAATAATCTGCCACTTGTGGATGTGTAGCATCTCGCTGTAAATCCCTTATTTGCTGCGTAATTTTCGAAACTGTGCCACTTGTCGTCATACAAGTTACGTGTAGAATAGCGTAAGGCAAGCGTGACTGCTTTTGCCGCTCTGGTAGAATACCCTCTCTTGTTTAAACACATTTTAATACAGTCCATACGTGAAGTTGGAATACTTGTGGGCTTCCGTGCACCTGTTTGGTGTGTGGATGTACTAATAGGTTCGAGCGCTTTGGTAGCTCTAGTGTTGGTTGTCCGAGTTCTTGAATTAGAATGGGAAACCACGTTCTGGCTGGCCAGTAGGGCGCAACCAAAGTGAGTTGGAGGCTCTGTGTTTGTGATTTTCTGTAACACTTGAAGGATTATTGCTGGCGGCAGAAACACGTACGCATTGAGGCCTTCCCAGGATATGCTTAGAGCGTCCGTTGCCCATGCTTGTGGGTCCGGGACTGGTGATCACGAATGTCGGTAGCTGATTGTTGAAGCGTGTGGCGAATAGATCTACTAGCGGAGCTCCCTATTTGCTTGATAATCTGTGCAAAAATCTCTGTATGGAGCATCCATTCTGTCGGTGTGGCGGTAGATGTGGCCGAGAGAGTGCGTCTGCTAGTACATTCTTGGCTCCGGGAATGTGACATGCTCTGACATGTAAGTTGAGATCGTCGATTAGATCGAACAGTTGAAAGCTTAAAGTCAATAGGTTCAGTGATCTCGTTGAGCCTTGTTTGTTCACATAAAGCGCCACTGTCGAGGTTGTCGGTATGAATCATCAGATGCGCATTTTGTAGAATGGTGCTCCAATGAAGTATGGCGTTGATTACCGCTTTCATCTCTAACATGTTTATATGGAGCTTGCTTTCTTGCTGATTCCATAACCCTGAAGCCGTCCGGTTGGCGAGATGAGCTCCCCAACCCTGGAGCGACGCGTCTACATATAGATGGGTTTTGAATTCCTGCTCTGTTAAACATATACCTTCGCAGACATTCGACCTCCTGGTCCACCATAGTAGATGAGGTCTGAGATGTTTCGGTAGACTGAATGGTTGTAGGTCGTTGAGATGTGTATTGATGAAGACCTGTAACGGACGTAACTGTATTCTGCCTCTGACTGTCATGTCTTGGGCTGGCGTGAGGAGACCCAACAGGCTCTGCCAATGTCGTAGTGGTAGCGGAGAGAGTAGGAGCTAGAGGAATGGTCTGTTGGATCTTGAGCCATCGGTCTTCTGGCAATACGGCGATCACGGTTGAGAGTAAGTGATAAATCGAATGCCTAGAAATTGCAGATCTTGCGATGGTACTAGGTCCGACTTGAGTAAGTTTACTAACCATCCCTAGCTGTGTTAGTAGCTTTATGATGTAGTTTAACTGTAGTTTGAGGCGCTGTGGATCTTGATCTACTTGTATCCCGTCGTCGAGGTAGAACGCGCTCGCGTAGCCCTAGACGATGTAGATAGGTGACGATAGGTTTCGTTATCCTCGTGAATAGCCAGGGGGCTGATGATATTCCGAATGGGAGTACTTTCCATTGGTAATGCAGCCCGTCTAGTGTAAATCGTAGGTATTTCCTGGATTCGGGATGTATCGGGACGTGTAGATATGCGTCTTGCAGATCTATACTGGCCATGTAATCCATGGGACGAATCAACTGCCGTAACTGAGGTAGATGCAGGGCTCGATTTAAGAGATGTTAACCTACTTGCACCAGGTACAACCTAAGATAAAGACCTAGTTGCACCAGCCAAATTCCAGTTGCAATGTAGTGTGTTAAAATGTTTCAGTGCACATAAACCTTAATCAGTGATGTAGTACACATGAAACCATAGCAACACTGAGACACAGCTGATCCCTGTTTACAAGAGCTGTCATAGCCGAGACGTGTTTATGAATAGC